GTCAGATCTCAAGTGTTATTACTACACCTCCTGAACCTCAACAGATTTTATAATCTGATGACAAACTATAAGTGCTTAGTGCAGATTTTTGAGATAGTGACTCAAAATTGTATTGTATAAGTGATTTAGTAGTACAGTACTGTGCTGTAGTATATGATAGTGTTAAAATAACTGCCCATTACTGCCCTCATTATTATTCTACCTTCACTGCCTCTAAACCACCTTCAAAAGCCAGGAGCCCTTTCAAATTAAAGGTAAACACTTATTTAAATAAATAACTATCTTTATTTGTGTTTTACAGATTATTATTGTTTTATTTTCATTACATCTATTAATTTGCCATTTATTTCTGTGGTAGGTATTTGTACTTGGAAATTTACAATACTCCAAATATTTTACTAATCCAGATCACCTTTCCGACAATTAATTCGGTTCTCTAAAGATGTCATTTGGGCACTAAAAAATGAAATTCATAATATGGCTTTTTTGACTACCTTTTCTAAGTATAAATAACATGAACTTTTCATATCTAGCATTGAAATTGGTATAAATCTAAGGTATGTTGAGAAAATGAAGGGTTTTATGAAAATTTATTAAAAAATATACATCATTGTAGTCGATCAATACATCATACAGTAATGACCCAGTTTGTTCCAATAAAGTCAAAAGGAATTCAGGAACATTCAGATCCTTGTATTATAACTATGTATGCCTTCAGAATTTTTAAGCCGATCTACCACAATTTATGACAAAGTTTATAGTTGTCGGTGTGTGTGATCACTAATGATAGTAGATAATTAAAAAACAAAACAAAAAAATTTAGGTGCAGTATACACCGTAGTTATTAACTAAAGGAGAAATTTGAATGCATCATGCAGTACTGTACTGGATGAAACACAAACTTGCACAGCAAATACTGACTAGGCCTAATGACATTACCAAATAATATACAGTACACTATACAAATATGATGGCAGGTAGCCCAGTCTACCATCATTTACTGCCCAAAATTGGCTTATTTACTATTACATATTACTAAAATAGCCACTAACATAAACATACACACACTACTGTGCATATATTGATGCAATGGGGCTCATATTATAGTACAGTCGTAATGAAGGGTTAGAAGACAGACTGTGGTGATACAGTACTAACACTCGACCCGTCAGTGAATCTACAGCAAATACCACATGTTTGTTACCATACAGCCATTTTTCCTGCATTATATTAGTGAAATGTACAATGGAAGATGTACACACACTTTTTCTGCATATTCTGATGTAATGGTGCTTATAACTTATCTAAAATATGGTGAAAATGTGAAGAAAATTACAGTGGTGGGTGGCAGGGAGTGCACATGTGTCCCAAATGTATTTGTTGACACTCACAGCTTCTGCGCTTTACAAACCTTACTCCTGCTGACAGTGTGCAGCACAAACAATGTCTGGGTGTAATTTCAAACTCTGGAGAATTATGTAAATCACTTTGCGAGTAAATTTTTTTTTTGTGGCTATGGGGAAAATCCGAACAATGCATGTACAGGTGTATAGGGAAAAAAATTATTTGGAGGATGTCGAATACAGTGTCACTTATTTTCAGAATATCCTCTGGCAGGTTATTCCAAGAGTTCACAATTCTTACACTAAAGAAGTAAGCTATGCAAGTTTCCTTTAGTGACTATAGTCCAGAAAAATGTGAGGGCAAATTTTTTGGGTGAGAATTGTGAACTCTTGGAACAATTGCGAGGAGAGCATTAACGGCACCGAGTGAGAGCTCATTCAAGGCCAGACTTGACCAACACTGAAGCAGGTTCCGATATATTCAGGAGCCAGTGCATGCCCAGCATCTGCCAACAGTCGTTATCAGAGATGTGACCAACCACCCAAGTGGCTAACGAGCCGATCAGTGGCGAAAAAGTTAAAAGTAAAATAGATGTGGTGCCAGCACCAGTTTGGTGGCCATTTTTTAAATGTTCTCAATCAATTGGCAGTCTTTCATGTATCTCAAGACAAGAAAATTACATTACTCCAAGTAAGGAAGCACTACGCTTATGAGAAGTTTTACATGGGACAGACCATCCAAGGATGTGTAGGAGCTACACATACAAGAATCCCACCAGTTTATTAGCAAGGTTCACCTTATTCTCGCAATGATCCAAGCACAGTTTGTTGTCAATTTAAAACAGAAATTTTTATCACATTTAGTTTTAGTTATGGAAATATTTTTATCACATTGGGATGTGATGCTTCCTTACTACTGCTATAGTATGACCAAAATGCATCCTCTAATATTTTGCAGTGTTGAATCTCAGCATCCATTCCTTTGACCAATATTTTTGCTGAGTGAGATCTTCCTGTAATAATTCACTATGTTAAATTTTTAATTTATCTGAACAGTTTAGCATCACTTGCAAAGATTTGTATAGAAGTATAAATAGCATCTGGCATAGAATTTATGAAAGAAACAAACATCAGTTCAAGCACTCTGTTTTTTAGTACATTGTTTGTTACTAATACACATGACAATTTTATGCCATTAATCACCACACATTGTTTACAATTGCAAAAAATTCTCCAATCAATACAGTACAGTACTGTAGTGTACGAGGATATTTTCCCAAATTCTGTATCCTTCCAGTTTAATATTCAGCCTTTCGTGAGATACAATGTCAAACGTCTTGCCAAAGTCAAGGTATATATTTACAATATTACCTCCACATATGTGTATCCACACACCCAGAAATTTCAGTAACTGTGTCAAGCAAGAGTATCTGGGCATAAACCTATGCAGGCATTCTTTCACAAGATTGTTCTGTTGTAAGTACAGTACTCCATTATGGATCAAATATAATGTTCTATCATACTTTACTCACCTACTACAGGTCAATTTTACAAGCCTGTAATTATTTATGCAGTGGTAATCTCCCTTCTTGAATATAGGACTTATACATACAGTATATGTAATGCTAATTTCCAATCATTGGGATCACTTGTTCACCTCTGCAGAAAAAAATATTAGGGGGCTCCAAGAGCTTGTTACACAATTCTCTCAACATTCTGGGATGCACACTCTCTGGACAAAGACTTTTAGCTTAGATAATTTAGTTCTAATACATTCTTCTGAGAACCCTGTATACCCCAGTGCTGTATCAAACTGTTTTTTCCCAAAAGCAATTACCTGTAGGCTATTTGCATCCTCTCTTGTATACATTGAGGAAAAATTATTAATTTATTGCCTTTGCTTTTCTGTCTTGGTCTGAGTCCACATAAATACTAGTGTTACCGCCAAGTCTTAATGAATGCAGAGTCAACAATATCATTTGCTGGTAGCTTTCACTCATGTTTACTACATATTTGCAGCCTAACAGACAATTCATAATAAATACACAAGACATAGCTGTGTCTTAACCAATATGACAGTAATGTTATCACTGTTGTGCATTGTTTTGAATTCTTTCAAAGTACAGTAGTCTGTGTGTATTGTTTTCTTTAAATGTTTCTGTTTTTTTAAACAATATTTGAATGAATCAATACTTTTTGAAATGAATTATGTTCCCTCTTTCACTAGTGATATTCTGCCAAAACAATGTAAAAAAAGAGGATTTACTTATTTACTGTACAGTATATGGCAACTTATCAACACACCTTTTTAACACTGAATACCTAACAGCAGCACTTGGTGCAACTAATCATCATACCTTTTATGATTTACAGACCTAATAGCAAACCTTCTAAAGTAACTGATCATCACATATGTTTAAGTACAATGGCTAACAGATTGATCAGTGGTGAAGAGGATAATGTGAAGTGAAGTAAAGTAATTCCTGCTGTGTCATAGTTCACTTTTTGTGGCAAACTAATTAGGGAAAAATTTTATTTACACCACAGTGCTCATATCATTGTGGTCTGTGGGATGCTGGTTTTCATGAAATTTTTTTTTGCCACATTTCTTGCTGTGCCATAATCATGATTTTAATGTGCTGCAGGTCAACTAGGGATGGGTGGGCAGTGTACCTGGTCTATACAATGGATATATTTAATTAATACTAATTACGCGACAAAATTAAGATGTTGGCAACAGACAGCGACCAAAATTTCTCTGTAAGCATGATTAAAATTTCACCAGTGTATCAGAGTTGCTAGTCTCAGGAGCAACTCTGTTTAGTTATGTTTTTTGTTTTTCTATATGATGAAGGCCCAAGAGTAATGCAGTCAGCTATATCATGGAAACTATTGGGAGAAATTACTGTGACAGCAGGGCCCAATGGCAGTTCTTGTAGCATGTGAAGATTTATGCATTTTTGCTCAATTATCAAAAAAGTGAAGTACCTGTCACTACCTGTACGAAGAAAAGTGAACATTGGAAAACAGGAGTGCAGCTTCAGAAGAAATGTATTAAAATAAAATTAGAAATATATGAACAAAGGGGTGAAAAGAAATAGGATAAAATGTAATAAAAGTTATATTTAAATTACTGTATAAAATGAAGTCTGATAATATGGCTAAAAACCCTATACAGGTTGACAACCCTTTATCCGAAATTCGAAACCGAAAAGCTCTGAAAACCGAAAGTTCTTTTTTGGAGGGGGGGCAATAATTATTATTTTTTTTTTTTTTAAACAGGGATTAGCACCGATATAGATCACTGACCCATATCAGGGCCTGGGGAGGGGGCGAAAATATAATAGTAATAATAATTATAATAATATCATAGAAATAAATTTTTAATAAAATACGTACACCAAAATAAAATAATATGATAACATTAATAATAATAATAATAATAATATATAATAATAAAATTAATAAAAATAACAATAATACAGGAGTACTGAAATAATAAAATAATAATAATAATAATAAAGAAATACAAGAATGAAAAAAAGATCAACAGTGAGAAACACGACCTAGACCTATGAATTATTATTATCATTATAATTTTTATTATATTCTCAGGCCCTGATGTGGGTCAGTGATCTATGAAAAAAAAAATAACCATTCTGAAAACCTAGAAAATTCCAAAATCCGAAATTCCTCTGGCCCCAAGGATTTTGGATAAGGGATTGTCAACCTGTAACAGAGAAAGAATTTATTTACTTTAATAATACTTCCTCAGATGAACAGGATCAAACAGCCTAAACATGTGCTCAAACCCATCAAATTTCTTAAGCTAAAGCACTTAAGATCAAACTTTATTGTTATCTAAAATGAGCTAAATAAGATAACTTACATGTACCTTATTAATAGGAGATAATCTATTAAATAATATTCATATACAATTTCTAACTTCCCTTGGCTAGCAACATTCTTCACGCCTACCAAATATAATATGCGAGACAGAGCTTTTGCCTGATAAAATATATTTAATACATTATATATAATTTAAAACCTACCACAATTATTTACACAAAATATGATTTATATAGAATTTCCTTCATAAAACTATTATTCTAACACTATAGAACTTATACTTTACAAGAATTATCTAAAACAGACCAAAGTATGTACAGTAATATAAGATCTGCAGATCACCCTAGTTGGAAGCAATATGCTATTAAAGACTTTCTCTAAATTAAAGAGGTTAACATTTTCAAGTGAAAACAAAATTTTTCCTCCATTGAGTCCCACACTACAGCTCAAAATATAAATTTTGGGGTTGTTTGAACTTTGACCCGACATAATATTTGAAGTTACCAAAGTGAACAAGGGTATCCAGATGTATTGGACCAAGGTACAAGCTTGCCAAGTTTCAAGTTAACTGGTCCTGAATTGAAGTTTTGAAAGAAAAATAAGAAATTTCAAGAAAACCAATACTGCATGTCCTCCTCATTAGGGGCAGACATAATTATACCTCAGTATACTTGTTATAATGTAAAGAGGGGTAAATCTCATAATTCTTCTCTATTAATATTAATTAAATATGTCAAGACTTATCCTGCAGATTGGAGGCAACAGAACTCCATAAAATTGCAAAGTGTAGTTTTCCTCCTTAACACCCCAGGGATGTTGAAAGATATTATTAAGTTCATCCAGCAGTGTTTCATGTCTGAAAAAATTACCACTCTTAAAATATTATTTATCAAAGACTTAAAGAACTAACCAGCCATAGGACTACAATAATACTTCCAGATACAATACTGAAAAAATGGTTCTCTTTTAATCTGAAGCTGATAGGGAATGCTGCATCAGTTAACCACATATGAATGGGATTACCGGTAGTATGGGTGACTTAAGTTTCTCATACAGTAGTGCATTATGGAAGTATAAGTTGCTATTCGTGATTTTGCCTATTCATTCCATTCCTTGGAACCTAATCCCACAAATAACAAGGGTTTATTGTATTATACTTTGCTATTATATGAAGAAAATACAGTACTAGCTATATCAGTCATTATCAGCACCATCTTAAAATACAGATTTAAAAACAATAAAATTTCAAAGTACAGTATTGTACATACCTGTATGCTACACGGATGTTAGGAACATTGGTCCGCTTGATGTCATTTCCAGCCACACCTTCACGTGTGAAGTTTGGTCCAATCCAAAACTGTTTCATCTGAAACAATAATTGTTTTGCCCAGGTAAATCAACAAAAACAGTAGTTTATCTATCAATATTCAAATGTCTTTTCCCAGTAGAGCACCAAGTAACCCACATGTAGCATCCTGTTGGTGGGAATTGAACTCTTGCAGATTCTGTGAGCAGGCTTAACCCAGGCAGTGTAGGGACCAGATGCACTAGACTAAGCCAGGCCATGTTTGTCTATAGTAGTGAGTTTATAATTTTTTAAGATGCTTCATGTTATAATTACATTTATGTTCATGAAGTATAATAAGGGTGCTATTAAGCACTAAACCCGAACACAGTTCTTCAAATAAATTTCATCAAGTCTTGGTGAGAGGGGCAGGGGTAGGAAAAGTTTGGCTGGAAAACAGAATAGGGTGGGAGAAAAGGTGGTGAAGGGGCAGGAAAACTAAAGATGGTGAAATATAGGCAGCATATTAAGGCGCTATCACACCTTATGACAGCATACTGACATCTTTCAATCATGCCCAGTGCGGTCGTCAATCTTCAACCACCGAAATTGTAGTGGATACTCTCCCCTACAACTGCTACGGCGAAGTTCCTCTAATGCTAGCCGCCTAGAGTCGTGCCAAGTTTCTCTGACAACGTCTAGACTGGGGGTCGACTCCGCGACGCTACTTTCTCGCCCCACGCCGCTGACGGGTATTTAAGCTCCCAGTCTCGCCGTGAAGTGGACATTCAACCTAGAGCTCTGCAACACGCAACACCTCCTCTAAAGAAGCTCCTGCACAGCAACTCCTCTACCAAGCAGCAACCTCCCAGCACCAGACTGTTTTGTATATTCAGTAATATATTTTATATAAGAAAACCACCATTAAGATTTTCCCTTCTCCAACCCATCCTGAGTGCGAGATAACATAACATTAATACTACAAAACAACATAAGTGACAAACCCCTACAGTGAGTTCTGCTATAACGCGTGTTTTGACAACGCGAATTGGCTCTACGCCGATTTATAAATAGAGGAATGATATTTGTAAAATGTGAACGTTTGTTTGCTGTAACGCGATTTTTGCTTACTATTTCTCCAATTTTGTGGTATTAACTGTGAATATGGTAAAGAAGAATATCTCCAAGAAGCATTCTGGTGATCGCATTCCCGGTGATGATCGTAAAAGAAAGGCTATAACACTTGAAGAGAAGCTTGATGTTATCAACCTCAAAATCACCCTTTTCCCCCATCAAACTATATTCATATTTTTTGAAGGTAAAGTGTTACATTTACTGTATGATTTCATTATTAGATATGAATGTAACATTTATTTAGACTGTGTTATCCTTTGTGTTAGGCTAACTACTAATTGTTTTTTCGATTTCGAGTAATCTGCACCTAACCCTATTTTCTCCAGAAGCCCTGTTATTTCTATTACGTATTTTCTATAACACGATGTTTTACAAGAACACAACTATCGCGTTATAGCAGAACTGACTGTACTTGATTGCAACCCTATCTTCTCAGATTGGTGTCTCACAGCACTGGGAAATTTATATACAGTATACCTGTACTGTACTGCATTGCTACTAGGACAGCCTGTCTTTCATAGCCAGCAAATTTATTTTAAAATATGTGTGTTCTCAGGCCATACAGAGCCCAAAGCAACAGTCAAATGAAAACATACTATTTATTTGTCATGCTTATATTATGCTTGTTGGTAGTATATATTGGCCAAGTATATAATTTATATAATTAATTCTGTAAAACATTGGGATATATAAATTTTTAGCAAAATATCAAGTTATATACAGTATCTCACATGGCACTGTTACTTCCGTGGGTGTCCAAGGTATCCTTTGATTTTGGGAGAACGTGGACCTTCTGTCTTTAAACATTTACATGAATAGATGGTCCACAGAAATAGTGGATTCATAGAATCTTGATGATAAATATGGCCAGTGTCATAGTGACTTTAATAAAGAACCAGGATAGGCTTAGTGTTTTCTTGGAAAATGTCATTATTTAGTAGACAGACAGAGACAGACAGAGGTTTGAGAATATAAAGGAAAATTAGGGAAAATAGAAAATGGTGAGTTAGGAAGGATTAATTGATTTGTTGTAATTAATGGCTTTCAATCTATGGCATAAAAGCCAGATCATTATGCCTAATTTTCCTCTTTGATGTAGTAGACATAATACGACTTTCTAAACTACAGTATACCTAAACTGATGCAATAAGGACATATGACAAATAAACATAGAAAGTTAGTAAGTATAATAAAATTATATTAATAATATGAAGATTGACAATTACAAGATTAATAATAAGGGGATTACATATAAAGGTGACGAACTGCATAGACACATCAGTGGGATCATCGTCATTGTTTTAATTTGCTTCTCCTCAACTAATGGATGGTCATAACAGCTGAAACACACAATGGGCTGACAGAAATACAACACCAAGACAAGAGTTAGAACGGAAGGAGGAATGGAAGGGGTAGAGTTGAGCTTTATCATATGTTTGGACATGCAATTGGGCCTTAGGATGATCAATTCTTCAGACAAGACACAATAGGGCAAATCTAATAGATATTCAAAATCTTGAAGGATAAAAACGTGAACTCAGGCCATTTTTTCATAATGTCACACTTGACCAACATGAGAGACACAACTTCAAGTTATCATGCAGGGCAAATATCGTGAAATATTTCTTCATACAGAGAGAGGTAGATCAATGGAACAGAGTACCAGCTCAAGCTGTGAAATTGAAAACAGTACGGGGTATAAAAATAGACCTTAACAAGACTATCAAGAACAATGGAGGGATCCTTCATATGATAATGATCGTCTTCCCTCGGCATGGCCACTTCTAGTTTGGCTGGCCACTAAGTAAACAAGGTAAATATAGCTAAAAGATATTAAATTAAAGATACAATTCAATATGCACATATAACTCAGTGCCACACAGTAAGCAACACACACCCACTCTCTCCTCTGGGCCAAACAGGGGAGTTGCCACCGTGTAAATGCAATAGTTCACTCAGCTTTTGAAAAGAAAGAGTAATTTTCCCCCTTTCTTTGCCCTTTTTCCTTTTTTCTAAATTTCTCATCCAAGGAGGGAGAAAGGAATGTTATTTCACTCTTTTTCTAAGAGAGAAACCACTCCTTCTCTTTCTGCCTCTAGAGGAGAGGGGAAGATTGGACTCTCAGCTTTGATTCATATGTTTTAAATAAAAATACTACTTTTGATAATACTGTAGCATACTACAGTATGCCATGTATGCATAAGTAACCCCTACCTTAATATTGTAAGTTTCCACACACACAAAAAAATATTAATTGTGTGCATACCATCATAAAATTAAGATGTTATTTTACTACAACATAGGCATTGTGTCGGTGGAGTTTGGGGTCGGCCCGGCCCTATTTCAATTAATCCCATATGTTATGTTGTTCACTTTACACGGGCCTCCGTGGGTTCAATTGAACGTGAAAGGAGGGTTCACTGTAATGGACTCAACTCCCACCCCCCTTTTCCCAACTCCGCTGGCTCCTCCCTCTCTAAGAAATGTTTGGGTGAAAACACTAGATTTTATGGTATAGTACAGGTTGACAACCCTTTATCCGAAATTCCGAAAAGCTCTGAAAACCGAAAGTTTTTGGTGATTTTTTTTTTTTTTTTTTTACACAGGATTATCCACCCAGGCATAGATCATTGACCCACATCAGCCTGGGGCGAAAATGTAATAGTAATACTAATTATAATAATAATAATTATTATTCATAGTAAAAAAAATTTTAATAAAAAATACACAAAAATAAAATATTAATAATAACAATAATAATAATAAGAAATACAAGAATGAAAAGATAAAAGTGAGAAACATGACCTAGACCTAGGAATTATTATTTATATTATTTTCACCAGGCCCCAATGTGGGTCAGTGACTTGTGCCGGTGGCTGATACAAGGGGGGGGGGAAAGGAGAGGAAAAAAAAAAAAAAAACCCATTCTGAAAACCGAAAAATTCCGAAATCTGAAATGCCTCTGGCCCCAAGGATTTCGGATAAGGGATTGTCAACCTGTAATAAATAATACCTCAGACTAAAGTTAGGATAACACAATTGACATTGCAAGATTCCTAGCAGGACAGGGAATATTTTGAATGTAAACGTCATATATTTTGCACAAAAGATAAAATGTTTGCTAATTTTCATCATCTCCATGCATTACATCTAAAATTTGTATGTCTAATGCAAATTTTAAGATGTTTATATTTAAAATGATCACCATCTTGTAAGAATTCCAGCAATGTAAATTATATTCTGGCTGGTAATTTGTATGAATTTTATGAACTAAAACAAATTTCTACAGTAAATAAACATATTATACTACCCAGACACTATCTGTCAATCAAAATACCCCACCTTTCCTCCCCCTCTTCCCACACTCGCTGGGTCCTCCCTCCTACCAGAGAAATGTTTGGGTTAAAACAGTATATTTACATTTTTAGTAATAAATAATGCCTCAGAATAAAGTTAGGATAATATAATTGACATTGCTGGATTCCTTGCAGGACAGTAATATTTTGAATGTAAACGTCATATATTTTGCACAAAAGATAATATGTTTGCTAATTTTCATCAATTCCTTACAATACATCTAAAATTTGTATATCTAATGCCAATGTTAAGTTGTTTATATTTAAAATGATCACCATCTCGTAAGGATTCCAGCAATGTAAATTATATATCTATGAGCAAAAAAACATATATATCTTCAGTAAATAAACAAATTATACTTCACCCACGTAAATGATGAAATTTACCGGGTAATTAAAACATTTCATTCTGGCAAGGTGCCGCGTAAATGACCAAACGCAAAACAAAACCACGTAAATCCAGACTCAACTGTAATATATATATATATATATATATATATATATATATATATATATATATATATATATATATATATATATATATATATATATATATATATATATATATATGCTGATAACCACTTCTTGTCA